CATAGGGCAGAAAATAGAGAAAAAATCACAAACAAAATAAATGTTATTTTTGTTCTGCTCAATGACTAACATTTTATGAAAAGCCCAGTGAGCTTAGCTCCAAGCTCAGCTCTGGATAATTTTGGTTAAGCTTCCCAAAGACTTCACATTTACCAGAATCTTCTCTCAGCACAGCAGGCTGTCAGCTGCACTTGACACATTTCTTTCAGAGAAATGCTTCATTTGTTCTTCAGGAACCATTTTGAGCTCTATTCCTTCCTCTGTTACAGTCTTGTGTGGCTTCGCAAGTCCAGATGTCAAGTGTTGCCTTTAGCACATTTTATATTACTTTACATTACAGGCCTGTCATCAGTGCACCAAGTTAAACAGTATTTCAAACATACTCGATTAGATTCATTATTCTTTTTCTCTGAACACATAGTCTTCATTTCCTCCTCTTTGACTTGCACAGCCATTGCACACACTTGGGAACTAAAAACTTATATAAGCCCGAGCTGCTCCCATTGAACACCTGCAAAACCTCCCCTTTGTCGGCAATTGCTGCAGGTCTAAACACTAATTAAACAGCCTAGAAGATTTCACTTTAGATGCTTTGGAGCCTAAAGGGCTTTCTCACCTCCTCTCTTTTCACTTGAAGAGACATTTTCCTTAGCAGTTTTTCTTTTAATGACTATTTCATGCAAGGTATTCTCATTATTTCCTGGTTGAGTACAGTTTGGAAAACTATACACCCAATGTAATGCCAGAGTAGATTTTGTTCCTACTGGACAGTAAGACATCAACATTCGCCATACTACAATGTGACATTGAAAAAGCACATGTAAGTCTTGTTTTGAACTGTTATAGCAATATTTAGTCCATTTTTTATGTAATCCCATGCACACAAATTCTTCCTTCCTCTTTCTAAGATTCTGTTGCCATAAAGACTATGTCAAGGTTTCTCATTACATAATATTTTGTTTGAATTAAAATTATAAGTTTGCTCATAAGACTCAGAATTCTTGACTCTAAAAGGAGAAAAGTGTAGTTTCTAATTGCATTTTTTTGCATAGCAAAATTATAGTACTAAGACACCCAAACCCAAGTGGAAATTAGTTCCCCACACCTTCCTCATAAATAGGATGCAAACTTCACCACAGACATGTAAAACAGTTATTCCTGTGAACAGAAGCTAGTCTAATTTTAGTCCAATTCTTATCTCTAAACAGAGTGGCTAGAATAAAGTCATAAAGCATCAAGAAAGTTACTCCAACAGATATATAGCATGTGGTCTTCATCAAAAAATACTGACTAGAAAATATAAATAAAAATGGCCATCTCACACAGAAAGCTCTGATTTTATTTATCTGGTTGATTTGCATAGAAATGAGTTTCAGTGGTCATCTTTGTCACAATTTGAGTCTCAGGTGATGACATACAGATAGTTTAAGGAGTGCATGTTTAAAATGCCATGCCACCAAAATAAACATACTAAATCCTAAACACTGTCAGTCAGTGGTCCTCTAATACTCTTGCACAGCCCCACTGAAGTTAATTGGATTGTACAAGTATAACAGAAGAGATACATTGGTCCAATGACTGTAAACCTGTGGGGTAAATGCGCTTAATTTCCAAATGCATTAACACCAGAAATTGATTTGGAATTAAGCAAACTTCCATTCATACCCCAATTAAAGGCCTGATCCAGCAGTCTTTTCAAACATTTCACTCCCTTTGAAATTAGTGGATCAAGCATGTTACAAATGCAAACACTTAGCTCAAACATTGTATTATCACTCAATAAGCACTGTTTTGTATTTTACATTAGACATCAAAGCAAAACATCTAAAATGTTTATAAAAAGGCAGTAATTGCTATTTTGACATCAAAAGTTTGTTAAAATATAGTAAGGCACCCTTGGATTAACCAGTTTTGTTTCATGCGTATCTTTTTTAAACATTATGCATAGTGTAATAAATACTGTAATACTGATCTTATTGCAAATATCTACTTGTATACAAAATGATATACTCAATGTTAAAATGATGCACTGTTTTTTGAATATATTTGGTGAATTTTACAATCAAAAGATATACAGTTATTACTATCTGAGGGAAAAATGAATACTTTCATTTCTCAAAGGTGTTTTATGGATGCTTAGCGTATACATATTGAAAAAATTTCTACTCGAAAGTGCTAAGAATCAGACAGTTCCAAACAGATTAGATTTCTTTGCTTCCCTCACTGAAGCCCACATCACAGTTTAAAATTAGATTTACGCTAATTTGTTATGGCTTTGGTTATTATTATAGAGAAATTCTGCTCAGGAAGCGAATTGTGGAGTATTTTGGATGGTGCAGTCAGCTACAGGAATGAAATACAGCATTTTCATTGACACAGCCAAAGTAAAACTGTTTTACTATATGCAGATAAGTTACAAAAATGTATAACATCTGGAGTTGCTCTCAGTTGTTACACTCCATAACTATTCATATTTTATTAAGACTTTGGCAGGGTGATGCATTAAAATATTGTATTCTCAAGTCCATGATGTCATTCCTCAGAAAGCCATAAGTGCTTTAGTTTAAACAGCATGAATACAATCATTTATCCTATAAATATCACTAGGTGTTTTAAATCTTCTTTGGACTTTAGACTCACACAATAGTGAGCCACATACAGACTTTCAATATCCATAGCCCGTATGTTTTTTGTTTTTTTTTAAGTGCCATTCTTACAAGTGATGTTAGTATATTTACTGATCACATGGGCTTGATCCAAAGATACATTTCACAGGGGGAGCTTCTTCTGAAATCTGTGCAAGAAGCTCACATGGCTCTGATCCTGCAGCTCTGCATGTGCGCACGCGCGCTGCTGGGTGGATTTCAGTGTAGGATCAGGTCCGTGGAACACATCTCAGAATTAGGCCCAGAGATATCAAAATGTAAAAATATGTATTTTATCAAATACCATCATAGGTAAAAAAATCCAAACGGGACTTTGTAAACAAACATACTGGAAAGGCAAAGCTGTATTTATCATGTTCAAATCCTACCCTGTTGTCAACAGGATTGCACAGATTGTAAGGCAGGGTGGGCTCTGCCACTGCACAGTCACATAATGGAGAAGGTCCTACTGGACACGTTTCCCTAGGGTTCAATGTTCATTTTGAAGAGTCTCTTCTGCCAACCCACTCCCCTGCAGATATTCAAGTGCTGGGCTCAAAAGTATCATACCGTAACAAAACCTGCAGAGCTGAATCAGGAATCATGTTTTCCACTGCTGGGCGGGGAGAGGCATTTAGCCCAATATATTTCTAACCTGCATGGCTTCTTCCTCTGATTTAATGAGCAACACAGTATGAAACATGTCCATCAGTGAGGACTTCCTGGGGACTCCAATGAGCACATTGAGAGAGTCAGAGATTGGTGGGGAGGTGACAGATAGTTATTCTTCAAAGCTAACTTTCAGAAGTCCAGCTGACAGAGATACATTCATCAGCCACGCTCAAATCCAGAATCAAAGTCCTCCTATGATTTCCAAACGTCTTTTTCCACTTGTTTATATCAGTTTATAAAATGAACTAAACAAACACTCTTTGCTTACGTACAATATTTAAAAGCAGTTCTGCAATTTCACCAATCACCACAATGCCTAAAAAAGGCTTGCTTTCTCCCAATAAGGGAATTTCCTTCAGATCCTCCTGATACCCTCTCAAACAAAAGTTTGGACCCAGGTAGGCCATAGAGCAAGCTCAGAAGGTCAGTACACTCCACCCCTGTTGAACCAGCATGGACAGAAAGTTCCAGAGTTTATGGCTTTCCTAGAAAATGCCCTTCCACTAGATCTCTCCTATTTAAAAGTGAGGGCCATTCACTCAAGCACTCAGTTGATCTCAATTGCCATGCAACACAAGGGAGAAGCACTTTCTCGAGCAGCCAAACCACACAGAGCTTCATTAGTCAAAAACATCTTGAATTATACCCAGAACCAAATGGGAAGCCAATGCAATCTGTGGCACATAGGTGTTAGCAGGCTTCACAGAAGGAGCATATAATTAAGGGGGCTGCTGCATTTTGTACTAGTCGTAGTTTGAGTAGTCTTCAGGTGTAGTCCGACAAAGAGCATTACAGTAATCCAATTTTGAGGGCATGGATAACTGCAGCATGATCCATGTCCAAATGGAAAGGACAAGTAGAGATTAACAACATAAAACTATTACAAAACAAGGCATCAGGGCCATACAGGACACTATTACACTGCTGAATTCTCAATTTTCTCTCTTCTTTTGAGGATTCTCCTTCATGTCATGGCAACCTTTCCCCTGGAGAATGAAGGCAGGAGATAGCCTCTGCTGGAGCCCAGTGCTCGTGGGGTGTCAGAAGATTATGCCATTTAGTTGTCACCCTCAGGGAAGGCTATCTGTAGCATAAACACACGCTTCTGACAGGCTAAACTATGGTCAAAAGAATTTGCGTTGAACTATTAACTTGCAGACTCACATAAAAGTTGGGCAGTAGCATGCAGAAGCGGGATAGGGCGTGGAAGCATGCAAAAAAAGATCCAAGGGAATCTCATCTGTGTGCTGTCCCCATGTGATTAGTTTCCAGACAGACAGCAGTAAATTATTGGAATTTGTAGTTGAAATGTTACAACTACTTCACCCAAAACTAGTCAATGGGCTTATGCCTGCTCTTGTTGAATTCAATGGCAAAACTCCCACCAAGATCACTGGGAACAGGATGGGACACAGTAAGAATATATATATTGTTATATATGGTCCCCAAAATGCCTTTCATGGCAGCCTGCTATATAAGCAAGTAAAATCTACAGTTTTAAGCAACTATGGTTCATAAACTGTACCTTACTTCTCTAACAGATACTCAAATTACCCCTAATCACAAGCCAAAAGTGGAAATAAAGCAGAAGAGGCAACTTTCCAATGACATGGGCATGAGAAGTAATTCAAGAAACATTTAAAAACAGCAGTCACCCTCAGAAGGGCTGGAAACCCACTTCACCTCGGTATAGGCGGGAGCGGTGGGACACCTCTTTCTCTTCGGCCAGAGCCATCTAGAAACAGAAGAAAGAGATGGCTGTGTTCATCATGATATATTCCTTTTACACAGAAACGCATGCCCAAGCTCCTCATGAAACGATATGTGAAGAACTACACATTTTAAGTACCTGTATTATCCATTTTATGAGCAGTTGTGTGTAGTTTATTGGATGATTTATTTACCAAGATAAAAAATATAAATGATGTACAGCATAATTCCTATTAAGTATATATTTAATGCCACAAATGCCTGGAAAGCATGTGGTTTTTCTGCCTTTAGGCTCTTTCCTCCTCTTGAGACACATCTATAACTCTTGTTAGCATTAATAAGAGTTATCACTTCTACAAGGGCATTAAGTCCTACTGTGACTTTAAAACAAATGCAAATTGTAATAAAAAAACTGGTTTCAGAGTAGCAGCCGTGTTAGTCTGTATTCGCAAAAAGAAAAGGAGTACTTGTGGCACCTTAGAGACTAACCAATTTATTTGAGCATAAGCTTTCGTGAGCTACAGCTCACTTCATCGGATGCATTCATGATGAAGTGAGCTGTCGCTCACGAAGGCTTATGCTCAAATAAATTGGTTAGTCTCTAAGGTGCCACAAGTACTCCTTTTCTTTTTAATAAAAACACTGAAGTTCTACAGTTTAAGTGTGATAAAATCTCAAAGCACCATTTCTCTGTAAGAAAATTTTCATCCAAAAACTAAGCAAATTAAATTTGAGAAGGGTATACAGTCCCAGGCCCTCCCCCCATTTAAAAAAAAAGTAACAAGTTTCATAGGACTTGATCCTGAAAACAATCTTTCAGTGTTTCCTGCATGGACAGGGTGCAAGATCAGGCCCTTAGACTTATAAATCTTAAATTATTAAGAGGACATTGGTTTCTCCCATTTTTTTCCCCAGACATTTTACATATTTTCGTGTCTAGAGAGTCTATTCTCAACAACAGAAGAGGGACTTGCACAGGTAACACCTACACTATTTGTATACATGAGAACTCAACCATTAAATTTCTTCAAGTCAACAACAACAAAAATATTGGTAGATCTATTAGGCCCTATTCTGCCCTTCAACACCTTTACAATCCGAATGGGAGTTGTTTTTGCATGTCTGAAGGCAGAATTATGAGTTTTTAGGTTGGATGGTGTGCATAGCCAATAGCTAACAGAAAAGGGATAATGGTAATTAGCAGAGAAATTAGTAAACTCAGTCTACTAAGGGAAAGCAGATACATACAGATGCAAATTGTTCCCAGTTATAAATATACCTATCCTCCACTAATCTGTATAGGTTCTTTCACCAGATCCATCACTAGGCCATCTGAAGGCCTGACTATTATCTTTCAAAATTAACAATATTTGGCAATAAATAAATAAATAAATTAAAAAAAAAAACCCAACAAAGAAACAACTTACCTCTGCTTTCATTCCTTGCTAGTTTACTGGGGTAACTTTTGTTCATTGGTACATATGGCTCTGGAGGTGGCAGGTCAGATATCGGATGGAAGGAAAATCTGCTTTCCCACTCATCTGGGGAAAAATAAACCATTACAGGAAAATTTAAAAAGTAACAATCCTTAATAGAAGAGTTGCGTAGTACTGATCTTATTACACATTCTGTATTGCAATACCTCCTAGAAGCGCAAGTCATAAACCAGAACCCCACTATGCTAGATGCTATACAAACACAGAACAAAAAGATGGCCCAAATTAGCCCGAATTCAGTTCATCATTCATTGATCGTTTATGTCATTGCACCTGCCTTGTCTTATTGTTTTACAATGCTCCATTAAAAACAAACTAAGAAAAATAATCCAAACAGGAGTCCATTGACGTCCACAGGAATCCTAATACTGTGACTCAGAATGTTGTATGAAGACTCAGTATGTTCCACCCACCTTACGTTCTGTGCAGAAGAACATAGCCCTCAGGGCTGAGATTAGATGCCCCGACCAAGGGGACGGTGGCTTCAAGCCTTGGCATAGATAGGCCTCCAAAGGCTGCCTAAGCTAAATTATGGTATTTACCCCTGGGCTGCCCTACAGGTCATAGCGCTGCCTTGAATCTCTGCAGTGCTGTGTGCTGGGGCCCCTTCTGCCCTTTGCCCCACCCGGGCATGACCCCCATGCTATGGCTTGTAAGGGGTAGTCCTTGAAGGGCAGCCTTATGACTGTCTTTTCACAGTGCCTGTGCTGGGGGGATCCTCCCATAGTCAGCTATGAAGCTTTTAGAGAGAGTCTCTTTACATCACTCTGGCCCTTGTACGCAGTGTAAAGGGCCTGAAGCTGGTGGGAGGATCTCAGTCTAGGTGGTTTCCTGATTCTAGGTCACCTGCTGGTGACATCAATATTGCACCCACTTAGGCATAAAATAAATTTGGCCCTACATATTCTATATTAAATTAATTTTACCTCCTACGATAGAAATGCGTAGTAGGATTCAGGGTGCTGAATTTGCATTACAGGTATTTAGACCTCATTGATGTACAAAGCATCCAAACAACTAGAACCACTACAGCATCCAATAAAATTCAATGTTCAAAGAAAAAAGAAAAATTATCAGACCTGTGAGAAAATGCATAATCAAGGAGAAATGTGCATCTTTTGTAAAAAGTGTGAAGATAAAGCTAAAGGTATCAGTATTTCTTCAACCACTAGAGACCCACGTTTCCCTGTACAACAAAAGAGGGGTCAGATTCCAGTGACATATTAATAGCAAATCAAAATCCTGGAAAAAATAGCCCATGCTCATATTACACTGTCCTGTATCTGAATGCAGATGTTCAAGGGGTAGAATAAGGGCACACAGTCAACTTCGTTTTTTGTCATTTCCAGCACTTTGCAACCGTAACACTCTTGTAATGTAGGTTTTTGTATAATGTCATCCAGCTACGACCTGAGTGAACTTCACCAACAACTGACCACAGGATTGATTATTTTGGGGCCCAGATTTGCATTCCTGAGGCAAGCAAGACGCACCCTGATTTCAATTAGAGTTCTGCTTGTACAGGAACTATGTAGGTTCTGTCCCGTAAAGGCGATTTGCACAGAAAAAAAATGTTTGCATTCAGTTTTGTCTCTTATGATGCATCAAGAAAGCTCAGAAGGATTACTTTATAGTTTTATTTTCTGCTTGCTTTTTATCTTAGAAATATCAGGAATGTCAAGTCTGGTCTTTCCTGATTTTGTTGGGAGACTCAAATGTATATTGTCAGCTCATGCCTTAATTGGAAGGAAAGGACTGATTCATCTTTAATGCACATATATATCCTTTATCCCCACTGTTTAGTGGCCAAAATGGAAAAACTCAAAGTTTTAAGCAGTTTGACTTTGGGTAGAGAGTTTCCTTCTCTACCACTTTTACTTTGTCCCCTGTGATGTCATAATCCCACTACTTCAATCATCCCAAGGGTTTCAGGGCAGAGACGACCTGAATTTTTAACACTGAAAAAAAAAATCCTTCAGGCCTTCTTTATACAGCATAAAGCAGCAAAGAATGGCACACACACATTTCCTCTTTTTAGGTTACCTTTGAATGGTTATTTCTGAGGTCCAGTGCTTGCTAAAGTCCCACTGGCATGCTAGTATGTTCATGTCAGTCCTGTTAACTTTGCACTTCTGTTTTCTGCATTAAAATATTTAGATAACTCCATATGGCAGGCCTTTTTAGACCCAAGTTACACCTGGGACAGTCAGGAATAACTCCGGTGCAAAACTAGGGAGAGCTCAGAATCAGAACCAAAGCATCTGTGAAGTATCTCATTTAACGTTTGTGGGGCCAAACACCGATAGCTTTACTTAAGCAAAGCTTCTGAGTGAGGAGAGAGTAATATGCTGAGTATGTCTGAAAACACAGCTCACCTTCAAATGACGAGTCCTGGAAGCCATTTCTGATTGCTGATGATGGTGCAGGAGGTGGTGGTGGAGGAGCTCCGGAACCAGGTCTGTCAGGAGGAAGTGGAGGCCTTGGTCCACCTCTCTGGTTTTCTAATCCTGCCCTGGAAGGCAGCTGTGGAGTAGCAGGCAATGCCCGTGAAATGCTGCCATTTCTGTTTACAGGAGGAGGAGGTGGAAGGGGTCCTGAATCAAGACGGAAACAAATCAGTAATCTATTGTACCATAAAACCTACCGCTATTCTATCAGCTCTAAGCATTATTGTCTTGCATCGCTCTGAAGGGTGTCAGATAGGACACAAGCTTTGATGGGATCCAAAAGAAATGGGGAGAGTTGTCTGCCTCCTTCAGCCAGAGGGAGGGATAATAGTAATGCAGGGTTTGACACCTCTTTCCTGATCCACCCTCCCCTTGGTGTGGCTGATCTGCACAGAGTGCAGGTTCAAGGGGCATGTTTATACAGAAAAGAGGGTTAAATGTCACCTTTCCACTCCCTTTGCCTCATATATTCTCTGTGCAGGGCTGGTCTCTTCCTTCCATGTTAATGCAGCCCTAAAGATACTCTAACTTATGCTGGCTGCGAATGGTCACAAACAGCTGAAACCACAATGGAGCATCAGGGCAGCACAGAGGGTCCTGGCCATATCCCATTTCCTTCAGCCACACCTTCTTTTAAGGTAAAGGGATGGGAAGTGGTGTAAGAGCTCACTGAACCAAAAGAACATAAGAGCGGCCATACCTGGCCAGACCAATAGTCCACCTAGCCCAGGATCCTGCCTCCAACTGTGGCCAGTACCACAGCTTCAGGGAGAGTGTACTGAACAGGGCAATTTTGGAGTGACCAACCCCTGGCTTCCACTCTTGGCTTCTGAAAATCAGAGCTTTAGGGTCACCCTGATCATCTTGGCTAATAGCCATTGATGGACTTATCCTCCATGAACTTATCTAGTTTTTTCAAATCCAGTTATACATTTGGCCATCACAACATCCCATGGCAATGAGTTTCACAGGTTAATCAAGCATTATGTGAAAAAGTACTTCCTTAAACCAACGGACTATTAATTTCAGTCGGGTGATGCCTGATATTTATATTGTGGGAAAGGGTAAAACACACTTCTCTATTCACTTTTTCCACACCACTCATGATTTTATAAGCCTCTATCGTATCTCCCCTTAGTCATCCCTTTTCTAAGCTGAACAGCCCAAATCTTTTTAGTCTCTCCTCATATGGAAGCCATTCCATACCCTTGATCATCTTTGTTGCCTTTCCCTGAACCTTTTCTAGTTTTACTGTATCCTTTTTGAGATAGGGCAACCAGAACAGGACACTGTATTGAAGGTGTGGGCGCACCATGGCTTTATATAGTAGTATTATAATATTTTTCTGTCATATTTTCTATCTCCTTCCCAATAGCGCCTAACACTCTGTTAGCCTTTTTGACAATCTATGGGGACGCCAAAATCTCTTTCTTGGATGGAAACAGCTAATTTAGAATCTACCATTATATACGTATAGTTGAGATTACTTTTTTCCAATGTGCATTACTTTTCACTTATCAATATTGGGTTTCATCTGCCCCTTTGTTGCTCAGTCATCCAGTTTTGTGAAATCCCTTTGTAGCTCTTCACAGACAGCTTTGGACTGAACTATCCTGAATAATTTTGTATTGTCAGCAAACGTTGGCACTTTACTCTTCACTCCCTTTCCTATACCATGCTGGGTGTTAGGACCAGATTCTGCCAGTGGTATCGTGTAAAGGAGAATTCAGCTCAGTAATGGCAATGTTAAGCAGTGTGGGATCAGTTCTCTCTCTGACACAAGTATTTGCTGCATGCCAGGCTCTGCTGTGGTTGCAGTACATCAATCTGTCTGTAAATTAGAAACAGACCTCACACACAGATTTTAACATTTCCAATGTCGGTATATTTGAGCAACTGTCGCGGTAACATGCCTAGAACCAGCGTGAAATATATTACACATAATGTGGGGCAATTAGGAGAATTTAATTGTGTTGATTAAGTCATTTTTTTATTACAAGTATTCCCTCAGCTCAAAGAAATCTAGTTACATCTATTAAAGATGTATTACAGATACATTTATTAAAAATAAATCAGCAGATATTGTGCCACTATCCAAAAGCAAAAATGTGTCACAAGAAATCCTACGTACTTTGTGGTTTACATTTACTTGCTACTACAGCTTGCAATCCTGGAATGGTGCTCCAGTAGTGAGAGTTTATTCATTTTAGTAACTTTAAGATAATGAGAGAAATTATTCCAACTAAAAACAGCGTAAATATTGGAAGGATATGGATTAAGAAGCAAACACAAGGTCCCCTTCTATTTACTATATTATCAAAGTATATTATGAAATATCACCATGGAAACAATATTATTTTCTGTCTCATTAGAAATCTGCATATGCTAAATGACAAAGTTGATTCATAAATATAATGACACTTGTTATGCTAACGACTGTTGTATACATCTTGTTAAAATAACTTAAATACTACCCTAAGTGTACATGATGTTTAACATGCACAGGGCCTATTTCTGCAAACCTTTACTTGTGAACATTGCCACCGACAAATTGTATTACTCCCGGGAGTAAAGATTACTCATCTAGTTGGACCCACAGATAAAACAAGTTTGTTGCACCAAAGAATATAATGATCAAACATAGTGTTTGTAGTTGCTATTAACTATGATAATAATAATGAATGTGTAAATACTACCTCATAATTACTACTACTACTAAAAATGACTTGAGTGGCACGGTGCTTGAAATCAGCCCAACTGAAGAAAGGTAGTATTACACGAAGTGGCAACTACATGACCCATGTTTCTGCAAAAATAACTTGCAAATCAAACTCAGGTCATGATAGTTAATTCAAGTCTGAATAGCGATTTTTAAAGATGTAACTGATTAAACCAGTCAGTCACACTCTTTCAGTGAAAGGAGGGCTTCAATTTTTAAAACTGATTGGCATTTTGGTCTATAGCTTCAATTTATATGGCAAACAACAGCAAAGCATGTCAATCAATTTAAAGCTACAGCTCATATTACATTCTGAAAAGCATAAAGGAAATTGGTATTGGAGGTAAATTCAGCTATGTCACTGAAACCACGCGAATAACAATTAGTTTAGTCATTACAAGGGGTGGTCTGGAGAGCTGAAAAAATACACACTACCATACCTGATCTGCTAGGTGGATCTCTTACTGGAGGAGGAGGCCGCTCATTTGGAGGGGGAGGAAGAGGGACAGATCGACCTGTCCCAGGCAAGCTGGGAGGTGCAAGAGAACCTAGAGACAGATTCCTTTGTGGAAGACGTGGCATGTCATCATTTCCACTGGAAATGGGTGGAACTGGAGGTGGGCCTGGCCTGCCTGGAGGCAGGGGTGGAGCCTGTGAGACAGTGGATGGCCGAGGCGTGGAAGGAATGGGAGGTTTATTGTTTTGAGGCGGTGGAGGTGGAAAGGAAGGTTCCCGGTTGATGGGTGCCCTGTTTCCTGTTGGAGGTGGTGGCGGCGGCGGCTTGTCATCTGTTGACTTGCCAGGCGCAGGAGGAAGGGGAGGTCTGTTAGAGAAAGAAGGCGAGGAACTTGCAGTCGACTGGCGAATAGATCCTCCGAATCCTGTATTTCTGTTTCCTGGGAAAGATGGAGGGATAGGCCCTGCGTTGGTTTGCCTGTTTACTCCTGGCACAGGAGGGGATACTCTGTTGTGTAAACCTGATGGAATGGGTCTTGGAGTATTTGGCACTGGAGGAGGTCCTGTATCTGGTTTGGAACCAAAATCAGGTCTCGGAGGTGGCATTCGGTTTCTCTGTGGTTCGGGAGCGGTACTTCTTTGCCCCAAAGAAGGCCCTGGAAATCTCCCAGCGGCACTTGGAAGTGAAAAAGGCTTGGCAGATGTTGTTCTTCCTCCTGGTGGCAGCATGGGAGGTCTGTTTCCTCCAGAATCTGGAAACAGAGAAGTAAATACTATTCACATCAGGGTAAAGGGCTAGGCAATAGGCAAGAGAAGGTAAAACACACTGTGAGAATGGGCCAAATTTTCAAGTCGTTACTTGAATGCACTGGGAGTTTTGCACTGGTTGTAAGGACTGACTGAAGTCTTCAGGATTTGTCCAGTGGCGTAGCCAGGCGGAAAAAACAGGGGGAGCTGAGATAAAAAAAGGCACCACCCCCCGGTACTCACCCAGCGGGTCCTTCACGCGCTCCGGTCTTCTGCACTGAAAGACCACCACAATGCTGCTGAAGACTGGAGCGAGTGAAGGACCAGATGCCGAAATGCTGCTGAAGACCTGGAGCGCCGCCGGGTGAGTATCAGGGAGTGGTGCCTTTTTTACCTCCGCTCCCCCTGACCCGCTGCCGAAGATCCGGAGCGCTGCCGAGTGAGTAAAAATTTCAAAGGTGCCGAAGAGTTAAAAAGGTGCCATTTCTGCTCGGGGGGTGGAGCGGCTGCTGCCCCGCCCCCCGCCAGCCACGTGACTGGATTTGTCCCCATAAGGCTACTCAGTAGGTAATTTAAAAGCATTTGTAGCAACAGCCCCAATGTAGCCATTATGTTCTATCACAGCAGGATTGCATAGAAAGGATACTTATGATAGACTAGAGCAGAGGCTCTCATCCTTTCCAAATGACTGTACCCCTTTCAGGAGTCTGATTTGTCTTGCGTACCCTCAAGTTGTACCTCACTTAAAAGCTACTTGCTTACAAAAATCAGACAAAAAATCAGAAAAGTGTCCCAGCACACTGTTACTGAAAAATTGCTTACTTTCTCATTTTTTACCATATAATTATAAAATAAATCAACTGGAATATAAATATTGTACTATACACTGAAATGTAAGTACATACAGCAGTATAAACAAGTCATTATCTGTATGAAATTTTAGTTTGTATTGCCTTCACTAGTGCTTATTATGTAGCCTGTTGTAAAACTAGGCAAAATCTAGATGAGTTGATGTACCCCCTGGAAGACCTCTGCGTACTTCCAGTGGTACACATACCCCTGGTTGAGAACCACTGGACTAGAGCTATTATGGACCATTGCTAATGATATAATAGGATTTATTTTCAGGCTTCCCTGATGCAAACATTAACAGCATAGAGGGAAGAAATTCTCCTTGGAAAAACTGTGAAGAACAATGATTTAGGGTTTTCAACATGTGAGCAGAAGCGTCTTAACTTTCAATCAATATTTGATCACTAGAATTCAGCAAAAGGAAGAGGACTTGAAAGTAATCCAGAAAAAAACTCTCCCATTTCTCCCTTCTTCCAATATCTATTTTTTATGGATTTGCTTGTGTTTCTCTGGAAGAGGAGTTTTGCAATTGAAGAAACACTGGCCTATTATGCCGGGAACCTTTGGATTAAGAAGAGTTCCCAGCACAGGCTAACATAGATAAAACCACCTCTGAAAGTCTGTGTTTGTGTCAACATGTGCTGAAGGATTAAGTTAGATCTATAATGAGCATAGGCCATTAACAGCATCCTAAGTACACATTTAGGTGGAGCCATTATATCCTCTCATGTCAATAATCACTAGGGCCCAACCTTCCTCAACAAGTGGCAAATCCCCAATTTTATAAATCTTGCCCGCCGAAGAATCTGCTTTGTTCCATGGGGCAGCTCCTTTGAAAACCTGTGAAACACAAAAAAGTGTGTATATCCAGCTAATGCATGCATGCTAAACCCAGGGTTGTGAGTTCTATCCTTGAGGGGCCATTTAGGGATCTGGGGCAAAAATTGGGGATTGGTCCTGCTTTGAGCAGGGGGTTGGACTAGATGACCTCCTGAGGTCCCTTCCAACTCTGATATTCTATGATTCTATGCTGCTGCTGACAGCTTGCATTGCAGCCAGATGGGATGTTTGACACATACCTTAACAGGTAAATTATGCCCCCATGGGGTTAAATGGGCTCTCCAGTTTAAGAGGAGGCCAGTTTCTCTAGGGCTTAAGGGAGTTCGAGCTTGGGATCCTCTGGATACTACACTTTGAGGGTGCGCACACACAGAGTAAGGGACTGGATCTGGCCCTTATTACTGTACACCACAGGCGAGGTCTCAATCCCCGAGATTTTTATTTCTCAGTAATACCTTCAGGAGTGGGGGAAGGAAGGAATTTAACTTCTCCCCCACAAATATCCCTATAAAACATAGCACTAAGAATGAAACACACAAAGCCAAATTTAAGTCTGAAACTGTGTTTGTTTTTTTTAACTCCCTTCCTTGTCCCTAGTTACTCAATGGATGACCGTACCTGCTATAGAGACTGAAATACTGAGGCACAAGAGCGAATGCTGGTTTTCCTCAGAGTTTACTGTGTGTGAGAGTTTAAAGTTAACCCCTTAATGATATTTTAGTTGTATTTTGTTTACATATGTTTGGAGGTATTTCCTGAGCCAAAGAACTCTTGCATTATTTTATTACTCTTGTATGAAAGTTTTTGTAAATTTATCGTTTAGAAAGCTTTTAAGATTCTTGACTGAATTCACAGATCTGGGAAATCCTCCTTACCTGTATCTCGATTTGCTGCAGATCTGAGCTTTGGCATTCCTGACTGAAACAGGCCTCCTAAGCCAGGTGGTCCACCTCCGCCATAGCCACCACCGCCACCACCTCCTCCTCCGCCACTTCCTCCACCACTGCCGCCGCCACCAGATCCTTTGGGTTCTGTTGAAACAAAAATCAGAAATTTTAAAACATAGCCAGTATTTTTCATAGCCTCTCCTTCTCCTTGTAGCTGTCTTGGACCACAGGATTATGAAGCAGGCACAAAGCAGAAGTTGGGACTAGAATAGGTTGGGGTGTTGAGAATTCCACGTGGTATTCAGCCACACTTTTAATGTTGGGCTTCCATTTTTCCCCACGCCGTTGGTCCCTAATCCTTCTCCACCTTCCCCAGCTTTATAGGCTTGGTTATAGATGGAAGACCTGTCCTTCCTGGTGGTGGTCTGTCCAATCTGGAGGCTTGGAATTTGCACACACTCAGTCACCAATGGGGTTGCTGCCACAAATACATATTGAACAAAGCCCCTCAAGGGATCAGTGATTTGTTTTTAGATAGTTTTGGGAAGGCCTAGGAATGGATTTTAGCTTGTTTTTCTAACAGGTGGAACAGGTCATAATATAAAAATGCTTCTCTCTACTCTGACCATGACAAATATTGACACAGTAACTGAAATGGCACATGAAAGTATTTTCCTGGTGCTAAATAAAGGCAAGGGACTACTTTAGAGCAGCATGGTGCAATGAGCAGGGCACAGGATGGGGAAATCAGGAGACCTAGGTTCTGTTCCCTGCTCTGTCACTGATACCATGTGAACCTGAGCAAGTCATTTCTCTGCACCTCAGTTTCCACAATTTTTTTAAAAAGGGGAAAATGGTATTTCCCATCTTTTGTAAAGGGTTTTCAGGTCTGTGAATGAGACACACTGTTCAGTAGTCTCTCTCTTAAAGAGAAAAGATGCATTTATGGAGAAATGCTCACTTGCACCCTTCCCCTTTGTTAGGCACACTGGGCCAAATTCAGCTCTGACTCGCTTAGGGTGTAAACCTCTGGAGAGTTCCTGCTATAAGACTAGGAGTACTTGTGGCACCTTAGAGACTAACAAATTTATTTGAGCATAAGCTTTCGTGAGCTACAGCTCACTTCATCGGATGCTATAAGACTTTAATCTTTCATAGTTTACTAACTCATGCAAACAATAAAATAGATCCCATCACCTTTAACATTACTATTTAATCTACCTTTAATCCCCATTGATAGCCTTGCCATGATAGCTCCAATTCAGCAGTGTAGTGAAACATGTGTCTAGCTTTCAGTGGGAATACACACTTGCTTAAAATTAGGCACCCTGCTGAATGCGGCCCTAGATCTGCTTTGCTTGTTTTTTCTGGTTCACTTTTAAGAGATCTCATTCCTTTTAGTGCTTTGGTGTTCTTCAGTCATCTTCCCGTTAAAATCCAGGGTTAAAACATGCTGGGCTAGCTGAGGCTGTATTTCTCTACACCCCACCTTGGAAGTCCGGATTGAGTGCCTGTCAATGTGTTTCCCATCAGCTGATCTGGCTGTGAAATGCCTTCTGTCACCAGACAGTGACCCCATGACCTACTAAAGGGACGGGCTTTTGTTTCCCTTGATCCTCTTTCCTGTTTCTCTCCTACCTTCCCAGAGTCCTTAGGAATGGTGCTTTTCCAGGCTCCTCTGCATCTGCCAAGTGGAGTTCTGATGCATTGCAGCAGCTCAACTGGATGGAGCACCTCTTCCAGCACAGGTAGCCCGTCATGCAACTGAGTTGCTACAGTGCATCAGAACACTATCTAGCAGGTTGAGCCACACAGCATTTCTGTCCCCAGACTGGAAAGAAGTAATGTCTTTTACTGGACCAACTTCTGTCGGTGAGAGAGACAAGCGAACAAGCTACACAGAGCTTTTCTTCAGATTTGGGACAGATACTCAGAGCATCCCAACAAAATACAAGGTGGAACAGATGCTAACACATATTGTTAGCACATATTTATTCAAGGTGAAGTAGCCTGTTAGCACCTCTGCATGCATAGAACAAAAATGTCTAGCTAGGTAAGTCATAGGAGTCACCTCAGCATGATGCAACTGCACGCATCAGAGCGACACCTCCCAGGTTCGGATTCGGAAGTTTGGCTAAGATTTTGCTTAGAGATACTAAGGTCAATTCATAAATAAGGACTCAACTTGGGCACTATCCCAACACTGCACATATTTTTGTCTTGTTGTGCAGAGACTTTTAGTGCATTACAGAAAGACTGTAATGGGATTTAAAGAGCATTTCCATGCACTTGATCAAAAGTAGAACATTATTAAATAATTCAGGAGATATTTTTAAGATAACTTGTACATAAATATGTAATTGTTTCATATTAAATGTTATCAGACTGATTAGATTTTAAAGCATTGTAACAGGAAGATCAGAGATTCAGGGAAAAGTACATGCTTTTACCAGATATTTTTAGGCAAATTAAATATTTTTCTGGATCTTCTCTTTGGTTTAGTGTTTCCATCCATATAATACAGACACCTAGTCAGAGCCAAAGGGCCAGTGGCACCTGTGGAATGCAGACTGCTTCTACCACCCATCCTGGGTGTATAGAATCATAGAATATCAGGGTTGGAAGGGACCTCAGGAGGTCATCTAGTCCAACCCCCTGCTGAAAGCAGGACCGATCCCCAATTAAATCATCCCAGCCAGGGCTTTGTCAAGCCTGACCTTAAAAACTTCTAAGGAAGGAGATTCCACCACCTCCCTAGGTAACGCATTCCAGTGTTTCACCACCCTCCTAGTGAAAAAGTTTTTCCTAATATCGAAACTAAATCTCCCCCACTGCAACTTGAGACCATTACTCCTTGTTCTGTCATCTGCTATCACTGAGAACAGACTAGAGCCATCCTCTTTGGAACCCCCTTTCAGGTAGTTGAAAGCCGCTATCAAATCCCCCTCATTCTTCTCTTCCGCAGACTAAACATCCCCAGTTCCCTCAGCCTCTCCTCATAACTCACGTGTTCCAGTCCCCTAATCATTTTTGTTGCCCTCCGCTGGACTCTCTCCAATTTTTCCACATTCTTCTTGTAGTGTGGGGCCCAAAACTGGACACTGTACTCCAGATGAGGCCTCACCAATGTCGAAAAGAGGGGGACGATCACGTCCCTCGATCTGCTCACTGTGCCCCTACTTATACATCCCAAAATGCCATTGGCCTTCTTGGCAACAAGGGCACACTGTTGACTCATATCCAGCTTTTCGTCCACTGTAACCCCTAGGTCCTTTTCTGCAGAACTGCTGCCGAGCCATTCGGTCCCTAGTCTGTAGCGGTGCATTGGATTCTTCCGTCCTAAGTGCAGGACTCTGCACTTGTCCTTGTTGAACCTCATCAGATTTCTTTTGGCCCAATCCTCCAATTTGTCTAGGTCCCTCTGTATCCTATCCCTACCCTCCAGCATATCTACCTCTCCTCCCAGTTTAGTGTCATCTGCAAATTTGCTGAGGGTGCAATCCACACCATCCTCCAGATCATTTATGAAGATACTGAACAAAACCAGCCCAAGGACCGACCCTTGGGGCACTCCACTTGATACCGGCTGCCAACTAGACATGGAGCCATTGATCACTACCTGTTGAGCCCGACAATCTAGCCAGCTTTCTATCCACCTTATAGTCCATTCATCTAGCCCATACTTCGTTAACTTGCTGGCAAGGATATTGTGGGAGACTGCGTCAAAAGCTTTGCTAAAGTCAAGGAACAACACGTCCACTGCTTTTCCTTCATCCACAGAGCCAGTTATCTGCATTTATCTGTATACCAGCAGCTCTCATCATCCTGTCCTGACATCAAGATGCAGTTCCTTTTGTAATTATTAAAACAGCCGACCATTTCATATCAGTGGTGGGTGAAGATATTTTTAGATACGGCTTTGAAATTAAGAATATTTTTCTATAGCCATCTAAAGAAGTACTTAAAAAAATCACTGCAGTCTGCCTTTAAAATAAGCATGTACTGCGAAACTCGAAAGGAAGACACTTTTTCCCCCATTCCCCACCACTACACTTAGTTGTGCCAATTACATTTTGCTATAGACTTACCAGACTTAGCACACAAATTAATATACACACTTTATAAACAGTAATGGATATCTCAAGTGATTTAATACATGAATTAATATAGCAAATTATTTGACCATTTTACAATAATTTATTTTGCTTGACCACCCTGCATCTCTTCACCTCTTGATTATAAAAACTACTCTAATTTTGCATATTAACTCATCATTCATTAAATACATTAAAATAAACAGAATTGTACTTACTATCTAGGATAGGGGCACTTCTATCATTAGTAACAGCCTTCTTTAGCTTTTTTCCTTTGCTAATATCAGATAAGAGAGCATTTCGCCCTGCTTGTTCAGACCTGTTTAAGGAAGGCTTTTCGGTATTTGCCTGCAAAATGAAACAATAAATAAAGATATGAAATAAAACTGCAGCAACCTGCTGAAGTAAGGGGAGAAATGGATACCTCTGTTTTTAACCCCAAAGCAGTCAAAATGAGTTTCGTGTCACAGTCTCCTTCTTGCAAACGTGGCACTAAAAGCAGTGAGCCTTGCAAACAAAGATTCTGGTCCCCAAAAATCTACTTCTGTTTCAGCACTCAAGATCCATTGCCACACTACTGGTCTAATTTGAAACAGTCCTCTCTTCCACCCAGCATTCAGAGTCCATGTTTGATACATATGAAGCCAAGATAGATCTGTCTTTTTTAGAAATCTCAATTTAAAAATATAATTGAAAAGATGGAAGAAAATAAAAAGGTTGCTATTTTGGAGAATGAACAAGAGCAAACCATACACACCGCGGACTTGCACAGAAAAATTGAAGTTTTTGAAAAAAAAAATCATACTGAAGTACATCATATCCAAACACTGGATGCCACGGATGGAAATTAAGCATTTGGCTACTGTTTTCTCTTCATTAAAATCTATCTGGAAAATGTTGATCCTCCACTTCAAAAATCACAGGCCTTTCTGATTTCCAGTCAAGGTTTTAAGATTCCCAACCTCAGTTGCATCTGCTTTGTCTTTTCAGAGTGTAACTTTTGCATTACCTCAGCATTCAGAAAGGGTAATGACAAGTTTAGAAAAAGAGAGGAAATGTTTTGTATTGGTATACAAAATAAGAGTTCCAACCTTTCCAGACGTTTCTAAAGCCTCTCATGATTGACGGAAAACACATGTTACTCATTCAGACTCAATTTGTTGCATTAGGTTTCTCCCCTTCTTTGATCCATTTCGTTGCAAAACCGCAGCTGAGAAAAGATCCCAAAACCTAATTTGTTTTGAGATCATTTAATGATCATTGAAATGGTTTCCTGATTTGCCAGCTCAGTAACATGGACGTTTCCCAGGAAGTGGGGACAGCAGAACGCCTCTGCACCCTTTGTGTGGCATAGCTTTCAGCGGCAGCATAAAGGGGAAGTGGGGCAGGGATGGATCAAAGCCACTGGTTCATCGAATAGGACAATCCATTAGCCTAATGGTTCTCAGCCTTCTCCATAGGATGGCCTCATGTTACAACAGAGAAAAAGTCTCACGAACCTCCTCCCATGTAGCTGTAACGATAGAGAAGGTGGTCACAACCTCCTGAAACATGGCCATGATCCCCAGGTTGAGAAACCGTATATTAGACGAACCGACCTGTATGGAGGGAGCAAGGGGATGCAGAGCCAGTGCGGACAGTAATGCAGTCCGTCAGGGGGAAGGAGTAGCAGCACTGATTGTATTCCTGCAAAGCGTACATTCTCCAACCACTGAGGGAATCCCTCACCCGAGTCCGAGATACACGACTGTGCACAAAGGTCCAGAATTTGCCCCTTTAAATATGACCCACGTGGTGCACTGTAACAACAAATATTTTACATTTATATTTCATGCGACTACTTCTAAGTTGAAACTTACCAGTGCAAGAGTTGGGGGAGGTGGAGGAGCTGGCGGGGGAGGGACAGGCATGGTCTATCGTGGAACTTTTCCCGATATTGCTATGAAACCTGTCAACAACAATGAGATACAGTAAAGTAACCAATCTATAACCTTTGTATTCACACTTTATCCTGACTGCCGAACCACCTGCTTAGCTAACAGATTTAGCAGCTACATTTTCTGAGCATAAATCAGTGTTAGGAGAATATTTCATATTTTAAACTTTGACAAGAAACAGCTACAAGTATTAGCAGTAGTGACATACATAAACTGGGGGTTCACACAAGAGTTCAGTGGCTTGCAGCTATGATAATTCCAGGTGAGATCAGGTAAAGATGTCTTATTACTGGGCAATACCACCACAATGTATATGCAGTGTGTGAGGATTCAGTTGTGCACTTCCTGTTGATGGCCCTTATTCTGCACTACTCGCTCTGGTGGCAGGCATTTTAGAACGTGCAAGAATAAATAATGCTCAGGCAAAGTTCCCATGGAATCCCATGAGATTTTCTCCTGAGCAAGCACTGCAGGATAAGTCTCAGGGATTGTCACACAGCTAAATCTCCAAGCATCACTTTGAAAAAACACCCATGGCTATTAGAACTTTTAAATTCATACTTAAAAAAGGATGCAGTCCCCTAAGAGCCATTTAAACGATGGAGCTTGCAAGTACTGCTACATCTACAACTTGTATTTTATCAAGGGCTACAGTGAAACACTAGGCTCATGCTCATGCCCATCCCTGACTAAAGGAAACGTTTAGCTTCGCCAGGAAATAGTTGTGCCTCTTCTCTGCTCCCTATTTACCCTACGTGACTGGTATGGGGGAGGGAAAGTATGTTACTTCATTTCTCTTTGGGAGCACCTTACTCCCTGCGGTGTGCCTGGCCAGCTACTCTGGCGGGCCAGTAGTGCCCAGCCACAGCTCCTCTCACTGCCCACCTGCTTCCTCACCGAGGGAGCATCAGGCAAGCAGCCCACTCTCTCCCTCACTCCACTGGAGCTGCAGTCAGTGCTGCCCTTACCTGGCCATGCTGAAGGTGCCTTACTTCCGCACATGGCCGGGTAAGGGGCAGTTTAGCCCAAAGCATTTGGGGATCTGCAAGGATGAAAAGCACCATATTAATGCAAAGTATTATTGTAGCAGAAACCCAGACCTCACAGTACAACGTACTTTAAAAAGAAAAATCTCAGCTTGGTATAGGAACAGACTGAGTGGGTGTGGAAGAGAGCAAGATTTCCTACCAAATACTGTGACAGCAAGTTATCAGCGACAGGCACAAATGACACTTTCATGAATAAACACGGAGGGGGGAAGAGAATTGCACAAAATTGCCCAACTGAGAGAGAATAGACTACCCCTCTGCAGCCTCTCCTAGGCTATGTCTACACTTATGGTGGTGTGCGGAGTATAGGCATTACATGTGTAGCTACATGCTGCAGCGAAAGGCTCCAGAAGCTTCCTCCCTCCTGCCAGAGCCTTTCACTGCAGCGAAGATAGGCTCTCGCAGCAGGCAGGCAGCAGGACACTGCACTGCTAAAAATGGCAGGGCAGAGGTAGGTAGGCACTGCTTGGGTTGTACGAGGTACACACATAGGGGCCCCGGTGTGGAGGGCCCTCTACTCGCCTTAGCTGCGCCTCACCATTTATGCTGATATTTGTACCCTTGCTAGCTGGATGTGCAGTGTCTGTACTCAACACGCCACCGTACGTGTAGATCTACCCCCGAGTGTTTCGGCTTCTGAGGAAAACACACTACAGATTTCCCATCATTCCCGTGATCTGAAATCTCATGCTTGGATAATTCGAAGAGATGGAAGTAAAACGTTCAACCTTGGGTTTTTTGCAGATCTCATTAAGGTGAAAGTATAGGTCAGACTTTAAGAAGCAAAAAAAAAAGGTTCTGTGCAAGTCCAGTGTTGACAGATGGCATTTTGGAACAGAAGTGCTAGAACTTTTCTATTTGTTTTTTCACAGCTGCATTCAGAAGCATTAGCTTAGAGGTATCCTTAAGATCAATGATTCGCCAACTATGGCTGAAGGTCCCACAGACTGCCAGCAAGTCCTATGGTGCAGAGGGTGGAATGGGAAGACGAAGGGAATTGGTAGTGCAAAGAAAGTGCTACCTCTATAATCAGCTGCTCCTTTCCGGAGAAGCCTAGCCATTGAGTACTAGACAAGGAGGGAGAAGCAGGATGGGGTCAACATGCTGACTGCTGCTGAATGAAGGAAAGACCAAATTCCTGGGCCAGAAGCTGCAGCAGCAGGAAAGAAGAGATCACCACAGATGGGATCATTATACACTTGCCTGCCTCACTGCCATAGGTAAGTGGAGGTAACAAGCACACATTTAAAAGGAAGTGGTTTCTGGAACAGGAAGCTAGTTTGTTATTTAAGATGCCTCCTTTTCCCATATATTTTTCTTTTGCCTGTTCAAATAAACAGGCATTAGAAGAAGGTGCCACTGTCGGTCACTCAAAACATACCTATGCAGAACAGGTAAAAAGTCATGGGAGTGGGCATAAAAGTTACCCTCCAGGCTTCCGTGCTGACAGCAATATTACCCACAGTAGTTATTCAGAGGAATACACAAAGCTTATTTTTTCCACACTTATTTTTGAAGTCTCAAAACAAGACTTGCATAAAACACATTCTACTCACTTCAGCTCTACCTCATGCTAGATAGCATACATGGATTAAAATCAGATTAATGCTAGAAAAGGGAAATTTAATTATCTGAGCTGTTAGTCTGGATTCGAGTCACCACTTTGCAATTCTGTAATATCTCAGAAATGACAAGAAGGTTTAGGTGTGTTAGGAAAAAATCTTGCTTAGAAATAGAGATTTCTATTAGAGAAATAGAGATCTTAAGATGCTAGTGTGTTTCAAAGAGGAAAAACAACTTATTTTCCTAGTTATTTGTAAAGTCATAAAAAGCATTCCAAATACACTTAAAACAAAATCCATGCTACACAGAGGAAAGGAGAGGAGAGGAGAGGAGAGAAGGAATTTACATAGGCTGCAGTTCAAGAAAGCACTTCGGAATGTGCTTAACTTTAAAGATGTGCTTCAGTCCCATTGATGTGTGTAAGTAATTTCATGAAATGGGACCATAATCAATACTGCCTAAAGTCTTCAACAGGGAGAAGAAAGGGGGAGAACACACCACATCTTGAAATCTAACTAACTGGGGGAGAAAATGGAGTTCAAAATGGTTTCAGGCACTACTTTTGCCTTGGAGTCTTTCTCCTAATGTTTGTAGGTTTATATTTTCCTTTAAAAAAAGTTTCTCTCCTGTTGCTCTGTGAGACACAAATGCAAATGAAAGGAGAAGCTGACTAACTTACTGAGTCTACACGCAGCGCTGTCAAACCAAACTGATAGAAATGCTCTTTGATCTTTGTAGTTGTAGGAGTTACCTCTAATATTAGCAGATGAAATATTTCCAGACAGAAGTAGGCGTTAATTGACACTATCCCAGTCAGTTCTGGGCATTTCTTTTCAGAGTTTTGCATATTTCCAACTCTTATGATCATCAAATAAAATTGTGAACAAAATACTATCCATTCCCAATCTTCTTATACTAAAATTCAATATTTAAAATTTGAAATTTAACAGAAGAGCTAATTAAGACATAGGCAGCTTTGTTCTTCAATTTCCTGTTTAAAAAAAAAAAAGTCAACAGGAAAATTAGTTCTGACAGCAAACCACAACCATCCTGTTTCTTAATACAGTCTTTTCATAGCTGCAGTTGCCTGCACAATTACTATGTCATCATACCAAGAGGGGCGGGAGGGAATAGTCATGCTATTCACTTATAAGAAAATCTTAACTCCTTCAACTGAGTTAAATGGGAAATAATTTGTTGTCTTCATGTAAATGCTATGGCAAAAAGCTAACAAAGGCAGTTTGGGTAAGTCATTGCAAATTAATGACACTACATATAAAATGCATGCATCTAGGCAGCTCAAAGATAAAATCAGTGAACATCAGTGGTAAAAGGGAAAGGATAAAATCAGTGATAAAATCAGTGAGAACATCAAGCTGGAACAGAGAGGAAATGATCCCATAGTTGGGACCCTCCTTCCAGATGATGTCATGGTATCCTCTTGAACTGAGGATACCTCTGGGGTGGGGGAAGGAAACCAAGTTAGCAGGAAGACACAGGTAACTGTAATGGGGGATTCAATTATTAGAAAGACAGATAGTTGGGTTTGTGATGACCAGGAGAACCACATGGTGAATTGCCTGCCAGGTGTGGAGGTGGCAGAGCTCTCAAGACATCCAGACAGGTAGATATGCAGAACCGGGGAGGAGCTGGTGGTTGTGGCACATGTGTGTATCAATGACACAGGGAAAGGTAGGAAAGGTGCGCTGAAGACCAAATTTAGGCTGCTAGGTAAGAGATTGAAGTCCAGGACCTCCATTGTAGCATTCTCTAACAGGCTTCCAGTTCCTTGTGCAGAGCCAGTTACACAGGCAGAACTGCTGGGTCTCAATGCGTGAATGAGACGGTGTTCAAAAGGAAGGATTTAGGTTTATTAGGAACAGGGAACCTTTTGGGACAGGAGGAGCCTATAGTGGAAAGATGGGTTCTACCTAAACCAAAATGGAACCAGATTGGTGGCATGTAAAATTAAAAAGGTCATATAGCAGTTTTAAACGAAGGGCTGGGGGAGGCCAACAGGTGCATAGTTTGGACAGACACATCCAATAGGGGACAATTTATTAAAAGGAAAACTCTATATACTAGTAAAGTGAAGAGGATAGAAGTTGACAAAGTACAGGTAGGAGCTGAAGAGAAACTATCAAACAAACGAGTCTCATTCAATCATATAACAAAGGCAAACAACTAAATACTGTCAAATTTTATAAGTGCTTGTTCGCAAATGTAAGAAGTTTAAATACTAAGATGGGTGAGTTTGAGTGCCTGGTATTAAATGAGGATATTGATAAGATAGGTATCATAGAAACTTGGTGGAACAATGGTGATCAATGGGGCATGGTAATACGATGGTACAAAATACATAGGAATGACAGAGTAGGTCATACTGGTGGGGGAGCACA